TTCTAGTAGTATTTATCAGTTAATTCTAGTTGCCTTATTTTCTGCACTCAAATTTGGTGAACCTTTCTGTGCAATTAATTCCAAAGTTAATGTTACCACATCAGGAGATACACCAGCTAATTGCATTTTTCTCAGGCCTCAGGTGTGGGTGACCTGATGGTGGATTTATCTGCTTTTATACACCGGGAGATCAAACATTACATGGGACAACTTTTCTCCCTGGACATTGAGCAGGCTCCTCCAGAACAGACTGTTTCTGTGCAGGTTGACGAGGATTTTGATTGTCTTTTTTCTCCTCCAGATTTTGCCATTCCTTACCATTCCCAACCAGATGAGTCTACTAGACCTAATGCGGTCTTTATAGATTTTGTGTCTTAGGTTGATGATGTTTTATCCCTTTCCCTTATTTGTTATGCACATCGTCCTTACTTACTTACTGCATGAACAATCTTCTCAACCCTTTTTGGTTTTTCCTCCCTCACTTTATATTTGGGTACATGCTAATTACTTTGCCTTGCAATTAAGCAAGTGGATTGGATTAGTGTGCCATGACCCCTGCAGACTTCAGGTCAGTTCGCACTATCCATTTTTAGACCACCAATTGTTAGGTTCCTTATTGCCTGTGTGTGTGTGTGGGTGGGGGGTACTTCCTGAATCATCTGTCAGTCTTACCCATGCCTAATATTCTCCCTTGCATCCTACCTTAGAAATCTATTACAGTATCTTTCTTCCATACACCTCCTATCTGAGGATCTCCACAGAAATCCTGGTGATACCCTTGCCCTTCTCTCCTCCACTTTAGCCTGCATGTCATCTTCGGCTCTGGCATTACATATGTGGTTTCTTTGTTGTTGAGACCTTATAGGTCGTGATGCCCTATTGGCTCTGTTCTGTTTACCCTTGACATATCTTAGGGATTTATGTATTGGCCCCATTATGAGGCATTAGGTTTTTGATATGGTACCAGAAATGCTAGAGTCTTGGGTGATATCGGTCCAACACCAATCCACCCTTTGAATATCATAGCCTGCTTGTCTCAGCCAGAGCCTCATATGCTTCCAATTACCATTTCCTGTCCTTCCCCTTCCCAGCCCTTCTACTCAGGGTAGTTCTTCTCATTGCTTATCTCAACAGCACATCCCCCCAGTGAGTTCTTGTCTAGTGGTTGTTGGCATTCTTTCATTGGTAATCAATGGGTGCTTCAGATTTTGTCAGAAGGATTCATTGTCCAGTTTGTTTCCCCACCTCCTGTCTCTCCTTACCCCGTCTTCTTCCCTCCTCCTCGAGATCCCGTGACCAGCCAGCATCTGTAAGAAGCAGTTCAGGAATTGCTTTTGCAGTAGGCCATCAAACCTATTCCCCATCCTTCCTAGGGTTTTTTATTTCCGCCTTCTTGTTGTCCTGAAGAAAACCGTGAATGACGGCTATTAATCATTTTATCTCTCTTCAACCACTTCATTTCACTACTCTGGTTCACCATGGAGTCTTTTCTCACTCTGAGATGGGTATTTTTTCTTGTAGATGACCAAAATGGATGTCTTCCACTTTTGCCCTACCTTCTTCTTCAACCTCAGTCACATGTCCTACATCCCACCCTTCACATCCTGCATCTTCATGCCTGGTTTTAACTAGGTCCTTGGCAAAAACATCTGATTTCACATGTCAAGCTGCTTATTATCTGGTTCCATCCATCCATCTTCCATGAAAGTGTACCAATGCAAGTGGAAGGTATTCCATCATTGGTCTTCAACTAGGAGGTTCCCACGACCAGTCTGCTGTGGCTCGTTTGGCAGAATTTCTCACCTGGCTCTTTGACTGTGGGTTTTCGGTCTCCTCACTTTTGGGATATTTGGTGGCCTTATCCCGTACCTTTCATTTTTCCCGATAATATAGAGTTTTTACTTCCCTGTCCTTACCATGCTCATGTGTTCCTTCTGGAGATGTTGCCCTCACAGGTGACCTACTCTTCCAGATTGGGATATTAATGTGGTCCTTTATTCCCTTACTTTATCTCCATTTGAACCACTTTCCTCGTGTTTCATCTTTCCCTTAAAACATATTTCCTTCTTCTCTTAGCCTGTGTATTTTAATGGTCTGATTTGTTTGCCATTCATGTTTCACGCACCATTTATCACCCTACCTATCTTCTCCTGTATCCAGATCATTCCTTTCTCCCGAAGGCCTTGGCAGCTTGGGAAGGTGATTCTTCCTTTTCTCCTGTTTCCCTTCCTTCCATTTCTCATCTTTATCTTCTACTGAATCTGGATAGGCTTCTGTGCCTGTCCAGGGCTCTTTCTTGTTATATTGCCTGTACTGCTTCCTTCCAGGATACACGTTCCAAACTCTTTATCTCCTGGCAATCCTCCTCCATTCATGATCTTTTACCTTCTACCCTTACCACTAGAGTCCATCTTTTGGTTTGATTGGCCTATTCCTCTCTACCTTCTTCCTCCTGGAATTTGTTCCAGTTGTCCTCCCGTCAGATCTTGTACCTCATTTTTTCCATCTTCACTATCCAATGGAGGAGATTCTGCAGTCCGGCATGTGCACCACACCCTGTACGTTCATCTCCCCTATTTTCATCATATATCAATTTAGTCTGCTACTTGTGGCCATTATTCAGACTTTGGTGTGACTTTAACTGGTAAGTTTTTATTTATAGTTTCCTTTCTTTTCAGGGGCATTTCTCTATTTCTTTATCCCATGGATCCCGCTCTGTGTTAAGTGGTGCCTGACCAGGTATTCTTTAACTCAAAATCCACACTTTTCAGCCACGTTGACTCACAATTTATCTTTCATGGCTTCGCATGCTCACCATTGAGGTGGAGTGTTCCACAGATCGCCTGTAGGTACATTTCCTCATGATATTTTGCTTCATAAACATACCTGTCCTAGACCATACCACCCATGGACTGCATGGGTAAAGCAGAAGGAGATTGCTGCCCATCCCTGCCATGTCTGGAGTAAATAACTCAGTATGGTCTGCTTTTCAAAATATGGTTTCATGGTCACCCATTGCACTATCTCAGGTGATGACGTTCCTCTGGACTGTCCACTGCATTATCACCCTCCTTTCTTTGTGTGGAGTATAGGAGTCCTTACCACTTTCCAGTTCCAAACTGCTGGGATGATTGACCATGGAGGCACCATACAGAATAAGTTCTACACAATAACCATTCAATTACAGAGTAGTATGGTGGTGTTCTGCAGGTGTAGATGACATGATATCCTCCTATTTGCAATAACTAATGACATCGGAGTGTGATGTCAGAATGCAGTTCACTTGGAAGCCTTTCTTCTATCCTCACGTGGATTTCAGTACCCTGCAGGCAGGTTTTGGATTTAGAGTGAACCGATTGACATAATTCCTCACACAGGTTTCTGGTTATTTGTCCTTTGATTTCCTCCATTTGTGTTGTGGGACACAGCAGTGGTACATTGGATTGTTCCAGTGCTCTCCTTGGCTATCCTTTGGTCTCTCTTTCTTATGGGGATATTATTGTCATTTAGATAGTCCTGGCCTGTTTCACAGTTGATTGCATGAAACAGACATACTTTTGATACTGGATGTCAAGTTCCTGGATCGATAGCTCAGAGCTACTCCTCGAGTCATACCTGTGAATCGGAGTGGTTCTCAATTCCATTGTTCTTCGGTTTGAGGTGAAGACCGTATGATCCTCATCCTATCCTTGTATGGATATCAGTACTCCACTGGCAGATTTTGGATGTAGTTGACTTACCGAGTATGGTTCACCACATCCTAGCCACTCTACACCTAGGAGCACATCCTTTGTTTACACACCTTTCTCACTGTGGGATTGAGGTGCAGTAAATTCCTATGGTTAGGATCACTTTTCTGCCACATTCTGTTCCACTCAGATGTGCTCCTCTCTTTTTACACCCTTATATCTTACACATTCCACAGTTGAGAGAAGAGTATACCTTGCTCAGAAGTGGTGTGATTCCTATCTTCGGATCATAATATCTCATTTCCAGGGGTATCCTTCAGACACTCTCAGGGAGGTATTTCTGTAGTTCCCTTGCACCGGTCCTTCCTCTTTATCAATGTGGGACTCTAGCTAATCTTGTGAGGGGAGGGAAGTACTGTTTCCTATATGGAAAATGTATTTCCAATGGGTACTTCCCTCCCATCTCACACTTCCCACCCTTCTTCCCCACATTTTCTGCCAAACTTCGAAGTGATAGTTCAGTAGAAGAGTGTAGAGGGAGTCACATGCATCATGTGAGCATGTCATGCTCCTGTTGGTGAGGAAGTGATGCATGATGATTTGCATGAGAGACATGTCGGAATCTTGCAATTCCAATGGGGGTGAGCAGCAAGTAACTTATGAAAAATGTGAAAAAAAATGGCTTTTTAGAGCTGAGGAACTAGAACTTTTATTGCACAAGATGCATTGGTCACTATTATGTTTATGGGTTTTACTCCCTCATAGCTTGGAAATTATAGGAAATGTAAATGATTAATGAGCCTGTTGATTAATTAATTAGCAAATACCACTAATTGCCAAGCTCTATATCATGATGCTATATGTAGATTTCTGTTCTAGTTTCAATAAAAGTGTTAAATACCAGCATGCAACAACTGAATCATCATAACTTAAGTAGAAGCATTTAAATTTTGGGCTTTGTATCTTTTTTATTGTTGTTGTAGAAATATCCAAAATATTTTCACAAGTGTAATTATATAACCAAATGCTTTAACTCACTTTCCAAACATTATATTCCTACCTTTAAAAAGTATATTGCAGACAGTGAAATTATTTTAGAAATGTAGAACTGCCATGATTCCTGATAAAACTAAGAAAAATATTTTCCATTTGAGATATCAAGGACAAAATTTCTATTTTAAGTGATCATGTAGGGTGATTGACCATCACTAACCAGATAATTGAAGAGCACTAACAAATTTCATGAGTTTTTGAATTGCTTTTTATGCTTATTTTTGTTTTTAAATCTTACCCTATATATTTCTCCATCAGAACTACCTCCAATAGCTGCAGCGTCTTTGTGGACTCAGAGAGACATTAAAGCCTTTAAAGATTCTGTGCGTAAAGAAGGTGGAGAGGGTATTATTAGAGTAGGTCATGGAGAAAGTGTGACGGTGAAAGTCCCAACACATGAAGACAGTACTTGCCTTTTTTGGGAGTTTGCTACAGATGGATATGATATTGGATTTGGTTTATATTTTGAATGGACAAATACACCAGGAACACAAGTGTCTGTACATATTAGTGATAGCGATGAAGAAGACGATGAAGATGAAGGTAAGAAATGGTGAATTCTGACTTGTAGTTTTCATCATTTTGTAACCAACATGTGAAATAGCACATTCAGCATAAAGGGCTTTAATCACAATTCTACAGCTATAGAAGCATTATGTCACAAATCTTGTGCCTGCCATTTTGGAAGTACTCCCTTTCCAAAACATACTGCCACTGTTACTTATAGCTATTACTCGATTGCCACAGTTTCTTCTTTGCCCATCTAAGCATTAGTCTGATTTTTTCTTGCTTGCTCCAGTCTTTTATACCCCACTCAATTGTCTCTTGATACTCTACACCTACGTCTATGTGCCCTCTATCCTAGTACTGTATATAAGCACCTCATTCAGATAATTTTATTATTTTTTTCTTGTCAAAGCATTTAAACATGGGTTTCCATAAAGAAGTGCTGCGATAGTTAATATCCTTGGTTGCAATTTTTGCATTGCCTAGTTGATTTCGCATACAAATTACATTTAATAATTCTATAAAGAAAAACAAAAAACTTTTGTTTATGTGACACGGTGCTTTCAGGCAAGGATTTCCAGGCTACTGTTTCCAGCACGGAGGCTAATCAGCCCTCCCCTATTCCACCTCTGTTATCTAGCATCTAGAGCAACTACTTACTTTCCTCCTTCACCTGATATTACTTTTCATGCTGGGAGGTTTACTGCTTAGTTATGTGATGGGATAGTTATGCCTTGTCCCTCATGTTTGTTGGAACAGCATGCTTTGTATTACCACTGCCAGAAGTATATGTATTTAGATTCCCAAAGACTTGGTTCTTTTTTGGACATGTGGGATTCCAGACTGGACTTTGCGATCACTTTGAACAGATAACAATTTTCTTGGATTCGTCTTACCTTCACTACTATTCTGAGATATTTATCTTCCCTCCAAATTTTGGAGCATTCCCCACATCAGTTTGATGATGAATTGAGTCTTTTGCTGACTTCTACCTTGGTAAGATTGTCAACTTCTGCTTTTTCTTTGGGTTCCTGGCTTGTATGTTGTTAGGACTTATTGAGTAGAGATGCCTTGTTGGAGGGAGCTTGCCTTACCTGATGCCATCCTCGTGAGTTATGTGAGGTTCCTTTTCTTCATCCTTTCATGTTTGCGGGCATTCCAGGGGCATTGGAATAATAGAATGATGTCACCTGTTTTCATTCTTTCTTGGCGTCATTGGCCTCGAGACTTTCTTTGGCTCCTGATGGAAGTCAAAGCATGACTATTTGTCATGTGTCCCAACCCTCGGCTTGTCATGTGTCCCAACCCCCGGCTTCAGCTCCTCGATCTTTGTTACTCAGAATACATTTCATCCTTATCTTAGAAGCTCCTCTGCTCGGGCAGACCATCACCAACAGTATTGGTGACTACCCTATGCTGATGGGGTCTGTGAGAGCAAAGTTACAACATTTTCTGGACATCTGGAATTCCTTCACCACAGATCCATGGGTACTTCAGGTTCTGGCATCAGGGTTGGTCATTCAGCTCAAATCTCCACCCCCTTTATTCTCCCAACCTGTGGTATTTCCACACCAAAAGATCCACAGAGTGTGGATCTTCGTTCCAAGGCTATCAGAGAATTGTTGGTCAAGGGGCAGTAGAGAGAGATTCGACCCCACTCTTCTATTTATTTGTTGTGTCCAAGAAGATGGGAGACTGGCATCTGATCATCAATCTTTCTCATCTAAACCAATTCTTAGATCCTCCCAGGTTCACAATGGAGTCCTTTCTCAACCTACATTGGCATTTTTTACCAGGTCTGTGGATGACCAAGTTTCATGTTGCCAATGCATATCTCCACATTCCTATAGCAAAGTCATCCAAAGTCATTTCCTGCACAAGGGTCAGGTTCTGCAGTTCAGGGCTCTGCCCTTTGGCCTAGCATATGCACCATATGTCTTCTTCAGAGTTGTATGAGCTTTTTCTTGTCCTTTCATTCTTGCACACACCATTATATGGATGGCACCATCTCATCAGTTGGTTGAGCAACACACCCAGATTCTCCTTTCAGAATCCACCAAGGCTGGCTTTCTTATCAGAGTAGAGAAATCCATTCTCTTACCAACTCAATACATTGTCCATTTGGTTGTCTTTTTCAACACGTATTTAAGTCGGGCTCAGCTGACTCCCATCCGTATCTAAACTATGGAATGGGCAGTCAGGCTCTTACTCATGTCTCTTTCTCTTACTGCATGAATGGTTCTCTCTCTTTTGCAGATGTGGGCATCCCTCAAATCTCTAATTCATTTGGGACAAACACACATGCAGCCCCTGTGGTCGCTACTCGACCAATGGATCAGGAATTGCGATCCACTGGATCATTTAGTCACCTTACTCAAGAGCAACATCTTAGATCTCGAGTGGCAGTTGGATCAGGCCAACACTACCATCAGTGTTCTTATACTGCTCCCTCATTCCGAGATTCATCTCATCACAGATGCCTCACTTTAGGGGTGGGATGTGTGTATAGATGGTCAGGAACTTCAGGGTCCATGGATGGGTGACGAATCTTTCTTCCACATCAGTATTTTAGAATTTCTTGCTGTCCAATGGAAAATCATTCAAGGTCTAGCTCTATTGAAGGGGAAAATCATCATGATTCATTTTAACAGTTCCATGGCAGTATCTTACATTTCTTGTCAAGGGGTTACGTGTTCTTGGGACCTTTGTTTTTGAACTTTGAATATTCTCTACTGGGCTCACTCCCATTATATCAGCCTACTGGCTTGCCATATTTGCAAGGATGATAAATTTAATAGCAGATCACCTGTCTCAGCCTAACTGAATTCTCCCAACAGAATGGATGTTCCATTGCAAGGTTTTCTGGTGGATTTGCTCTCAGTTCTGGACTCTGATGATCAATGCAATTGCCACTCATTTGAACTCTCAGCTACAGAAGTTTTGGTCCCTGGTACTTCATCCTTGGGCTTTGATGATAGATGCATTCAGTCAAGATTGGACAGGATTGCCTTCCCCTGATTTGTATGTTACCCAGAGTTCTGGCTATGGTTCAATCCACCCCTTGTCAGGTGCTGTTGGTAGCCCCGGATTGGCCAGCGCAACCATGGTTTACTCTTCTACAGTATCTTCAAGAGTGTCCACCCCAGCCACTTCATTTTTGGCCATCTCTGTTGAGGCAAACTCGATTTGACGTTCTACATCCAGACATTCCGAAGCTCAAACTTCATATGCAGAAGTTATAGGGTCCTTCACACAGCATACGGGTTTAACTTCTTGTATTTGTCTCAATCTATCCATAGACCTACAATGGCCATATATCAATGGAAATGGCACATTTCTCACCAGTGGTGTTTCATGAGGAGATTGAACCCACTTCACCCAAATGTGCCCACCTTATCTCATTTTTTGACCTGGCTTTTTGACAAAGGTCCAGCTTCATCTATTGTCGCTTTATATAAGGCAGCTTTATCGACTACTTTTTGGTATTCTAAACATTGGAAAGTATTTGAGTCCCCAGTACTATCTGGCCTTATTAAATCGTTTTGTCCTTCGTCCCAAAAATCCTTTTTAATTACCTAACTGGGATATTAAGGTGGTGTTACGTGCTTTGTCTTGACATCCATTTGAGACTTTAGCCTTGTATACTATGTATCACTTTTCCTGTAAAGTGTATTTTTTGTTGCTGCTAGCATGTAGACATTGTAGTTTGTAGTTATTTACATTACATGTCACAGGACTCTTTATCACTCCACTTATGTCCTGCTATACCCAGATAGGTCCTTTTTTCTTAAGACTCTGGCAACCAGGGCCTTTGGATAAATCCTTCTCAACAATTCATTTGTCAGCTATTTCTAACCTCAATGACCAATTGGACTTTGATCATTTGTTTTGTCCTCTCAGAGCTCTGAGGTGTTATGTGGCTTGCACTAACTCCTTTCGAGGTGCTAGAAATCAACTCTGTATTCACTGGGATCCTTTAGTTCCCAGGATTTATCGCTAACTAACTGATGAGGTGGCTTCACAAATTGATCCATACTGCTTATTCTGGACTTTCTTTACAGGCAAGGAAACTTCTGCAAGTCACATCTCATCAGATTCATCACGTTTCTATGTCTTTAGCTGCCCGATTGAATTTCCTGCTAGAGGACATCATGCAGACTGGTATGTGGACTTCTCACAATACTTTTCTTTCACATTATTTACACAATCTGGCAGTTTCTTCTTCTTCTGAGGGTTTTTGCCTACTCTCTGTGGCTGTTTTGATCACATCTGCTAGATTATAAGGAGGGGTAAGTATTTTTTTCCTCCTCTTGTCTCTTTATTTTCCAGATTCCCTTACCTCTTTTTTTTTCAATGGATTCCACTCTGTGGCAAGTATTGCCAAGACAGGTGTGCTTTTATCAATCCAATTCTGCACTATTCTGCAACCAATTTTCACTATACTTACTCCCGGTTAGGTTCTGTAGAAATAAGACCATCTAGGAGTTCATCAGATGGTATTACCGTCCTATGTTGGACTGCCCATCATGGACCATCATGAGTAAAGCTAAAGGGGATCCTGCACATCCCTGCCAATCATTGGATTGAATAAATCGGGGTCGGTTTGCTTTTCAAAATTTAGGGAACTTGGTTCATCTAATGCACTGTTCCTAAGGGCTCCGCAATTGTGCATTACCCCCATATTCTACTAGTGGAGCTAGGGAGTCCTTACCGCACCCTGGTTTCCAGTCATAGGAATGTTTGGGTATTTTCATCCACTTTTTTCCAGATGTTGGTAGGAGTGGCACCAACTTACATGGGAGCCTACTCATAATACTGGTTCAGATTTTATTCTCAGCTATCCGGTTGGGGTGTGCATGGCCCTTCTTTTTGATCAATATTGGTTCAGTATATTGTTCATGGTAAGAGGTCCACTATCTCTTGTAATTCTGAACGTGGAGTGGTCCCATCCTGGGTCCTTGTTTGAGCACAGTTGTTTTATGTCCTCCCCATAATTTCGGAGGCAAGTGGAAAGCTCCTTGCCCACTTGGTTGGGGAGTGAGGATGAATGTTCATAATTTCAGCCAGATGAGTTCTGTTCCTTTGGTTGAGTAAGGCATACACAATCCTGTCATTCCAAGCCTGGGATGTTGCCTTTCAGGTTTCTTCCGGTGGAGGAGAAGGTTTATCTGCTTCGGTATTGCTTACTTTTTCTTCGTGATTACGGTGGTTTGGAATGCATCACTATGGCTACAGGTTGGGATCCTATCAAATGTATATCTATATATAATGTTGCAGTCCAACTGCCCTAGCTACCAACGTGGGATATAGGGACATCCCAAGCAGATTTTGACATCAAATTTTGGGGTAAAAAAGTGCATCTTATACACCGAAAAGTACGGTAACTCACATTTTACATATAAAGCCACTTCTCCCCTCCTCTTTAGTACTCTATCCCTATTAAATAACCTGTAACCCTATATTTCAAAGAAATTTCTGTCATCGAGATCATGTACGTTTAATCATGTTTCAGTTATTCCCATTATACCTAAATCCTCCATTCCTACCAGTGCTCTAAAGTCACCTATTTTATTTGTTATGCTTCTAGCATTACAATAGTAACAATGAAGCCTATCCTTATAAATTCTTCTATATTAATTTCCTATGCTAAACTTTTCTCTGCCTTTTATTTTTTTTGCATTTAGTTTATCCTGGCCCTCACCACCACTATCTAGTCCTATTTTAAAACTTTCCTTATAGCTGAGTTAATAGTCATAATAAACAAGCCATCCTTTATCTTATCTAAATGTAAACCATCTATTCCAAAAAAGCTCCCTTCTTCCTCTGAACTGATCCCACAAGTCCAACCAGCCAATCTGCTCATCCTTACATATTAACCGAAGCCTAGTGACCTACTTATAACTTTATCCTCACTGTTAATTCTGGGCAGTATCCCTGATAAAATTATGTTATGGCCATTTTCGTTAAATTTCCTTACCAACTCCTTGTACTTATTAATTAGCACCTCTTACCTACCCATCCCCACATCATTAGCTCCTACATGCATCACAAAAATTGCATCTCTGCTCCACCTGTGCCCATGGGTAGCATAATCTGATTCCTTTCTCCATATTTATCCACATGCCTTGTCAAGGAATCACCTATAACTACAACCTTCTTATCATCCACATCTTTCTCTGACCCTTTTGTTTTCCTTCCTTCAAATAGTTCTTCATCTGCAGAAACCAAGGGCTGAAATTTGTTGCTCAATAGAATAGGCTCATTACAATTAAAATTCACTACTTTTAGCCTTAACAGTACTCTTTCTAACTTCCTGAAAGTTATTGTTAGCTGATGTATTCCTTGCATTTAGAGGCATAAGCTCCTCTTGAAATCCTGCTGCCATTTTCCAAAGTCTACACTTTTCTTTATCTCTTGCCTCTACTTTAATTATGATAGCTTCCAACTTCTCCTCCAACCTACAAACTCTACATACAAATTGCACATCTTCATTACTAGCTCCCTTAAAAGTACATGCCAGTCCCGAAAACCCACTCATTGTACCCATTACACTTAACAAACTGTGAATGCTTAATTCCTATACTAGTCTTAACCATTGTATTTGAAAATAAATAATCGATACCAAATATCAGTAGCCTATTGTCAACACTATTACTGTTAAGCCTTATGTTTAAGAACAACCAATTATATTAGTTTTTATCACTAGTTTGTCTTCACACTAAAGTAATAAAGTTTATATTTAATTATATATAACTTAGAAGTAGAACTTTATTAGAAGTGACAATAACTAGTCTTAGATGTATATGTAATGTTAATACAATGTGCTTAGTCTGATTTATATTGTCAACTGTATTGTTTTGTGTATTTACTATGTATTAGTGTGTCAGTTCATATTTCTTTTTGTGTTAATGTCACTTTGTCGTTAAGTTAATTGATTGGTCAGTTTATTTTGACAAAACAATATTTTATTAGATTTAATAAAAGTTGGTTTAAAGAAAAGTTGAAAGTTTGTTTTTCAATTATATATTGTTTTATTTCATAGCACTGTCAATGAAATGTAAAGATAGTCATAATTTTGTTAAAACCATCAAGTATTTAAGACAAAGAATTACTGCATAGAACTATTTTTAGCTTCCTTTTATTAAGTAAAGGGTTTATGTTAAACCATCTTGAGGTGCCTTAACTTTGAGTATGAAATTAAGATTAAGTTTAATATGAAGGCAAACAATTACCAGGTTGCTTATACCATGTTTTGTTCATTACTCTACAATAACCATCAGGCACATTTTAAGTTGTAGTTATGATTTTAGATTATTTTTCCAGTCCTCCAAAATGAAACTGAATAATTATAAAAGTTGACATTCTTATTAATTACTAATTATTTTTGAATAATATTTGAGCAATTTAATATTTTGGTTTTATGTTTTTTTGTTTTTATTTCCTATAATTATAAATTCAGTATAAAATTTCCTGCAAAACTCTATTCATGTAATATATTTACAACATTTTTACAATAATGCTTCAAGTGACTACTGATGGAAAATAACTATCAGTTCTGACATTACAAGCAAGATGTATTCCAATCTTGATGAAAGATGAAATTATCATGTATATATATATATATATATATCATTATTGTGAATGTAGTTGTTTGTTGTATAAAAAAAGTACATTTCATTTACAGTCAGGTACTGCAGTCCACTGTATGCGTTTACATGTGTTTATAGTAGAGACTGTCAAATTATTCTAAATGTTTCCTCTTTCCTGGTTTAAACATTTGTATTTTCAGACAATCTAGACAGAACCATATAGATTTAGGTCCTCATTTCAGTTTTAAAAATGTCATATAAAATAATCTTATTCTGTAGTTCAGGTTATTACCCTCAATCAATTCAGAACTATCAATTTTCTCTTTGCAGGAGCAATATAGTTTGTCACTTTTAAATGATTTTGACTGATTTGTATATTCTTTGAAGAATGGTGACACATAAGTCTATCTGGAGGAAAATTGTCCAACTAGTTCTGGCAGAATTGCAGTACAAAAGAAATTTTGTATCTTTTTACAGGTTTTTCAACCAAAATTAACGGTCTCTGAATGCAAATCTATTTTCTGTCCATACAAAATATCCAAATGCACATTTTGTTACACCCGAGCTTGAATCTTGTAATAATAACTGTGTTCTTTTTAATTTTAACTCTACATCATCTGATATCTCAAGACAAAAGTCTTTCTCTACAGCTTCTTTATAACATCTAAGGTCATTTAATTTATGCATATTGCAGACTTGGATAGGAAATAAGATCATTTATAATGTCCAGGTAGGTAATTCTAGACAATGATTTTGCTTCTTGCAAAGCTGATATCCATTCAAGACTGGCAATTTCATATGGGTCAATTCATATGGTTTCCAAGCCATCTTGATAAAAAGCTGGTTGTGGAATACTTTGTGTTTTTCACTTCAAAAGCAAAAACCTACGATAGAATTTACAAGGAAAAAATAATGATCAGTCACAAAGCATGCTCTTGTATACATCATAACTACTCCTTGAGTACTTCCAATATGGTGACCAGAAATAAATATAGTCAGTTTTGTGATGTGGGTGAAAACACCATAATTTTACGAAAAACTATTAATTCAATAAGTTTATATTGTTATTTTTTATTTGTCTTTTTTCCTTATCTAGATATACATCCTTTCGCTTAGGGTTTACATGCTGCATTTCTACATCACATAACTAAACATCATAAGTATTTAATTAAATAAGTCTTTCATAATTACTAATATGATGCACATCTTAAAAGTTTTGATAAAACAAAATCCAATTAACCATAATGCTATTTATGGATTGTGGTTCATACATCAGTAATTGAGAACAAAGATCTGTAAGAGATAATATATTAACAAAAATTTGTTTACCTCCTGAGATTGTGTAAACTGTACATTTAAAAGTTAGTTTCTTTCTTGAATTTTGAAATATTTATCTTGTTGTTGCGAGTAGTATAATAACCTTATAAACATAAAATTACCTTAATATTATTCTAGTTTGTTTTTATCACATTGACTTTTGTAAAATGTTGCAAAAACTTAAATCAATAAAACAACAAACTTCCTACCTCTTTTTTCACTATAACTGTATTTGTAGCTGATATTTAAAATTGGTAAATACAAATTAGGAAATAGTTAAGATTTGGATAAGTTCGAGTTTCAATTAGTTAATCACACAATTCTTTATCTTTGTAAAGAAGTAAGAACAGCTACAACATAAATATTACAAAAATGCATTTTGTTAAAATTCTTTGGAGTAGAACAAACATGTATCAATCATTTTAGGTAACTCTTATATTGTTATGAAAATTTGAGAAATTACAGAAATACAAGATTAAGCTACACAGAATTACACTAAAGTATGAAAACCAAATGATAAATACAAACCAATAATGACAAGAAAAATACAATACTAAAAGCTTGAGCCCTGAGTAGTAGAATTTGGGTGCTTATAGAAACAAAAGGATAAGATTTTAATTAACAAAGTTTCTTTTATTTTTCACTACAGTTTCTAAACACTGTTTTATTTAGTATTTATTTTATGTTGAGTATTTTATGTATGTTTAACAACCTGCCTGTCTCTTTCTCCTTTATAAAAATGAGAACATACTTTATAGTTGTCTACTATATTGGTAGACAATGTGCAACTTATTGTCTTTCATATTTTTAGCAAAGCTGGGTACTAACTTACAGGTTACTTTTATTTGCATTTATATCTTTTAACTGAAGTGTACCAAAACTTCTTGAACATGTGTAGTGTATTGAAAACAACATGTCTGTTGCAAAACCATAAATACAAGTACATATTGTAGTTTTTTCAAAACACATTGGATCTTTTTTTTTGTTATATCATTATCTGTTAATTTTTACAGTTAGTGTAAACACAGTAGTGTCTTTTGAGTTTATGATATGTCAATCTTTAGTTTTTGTTTGTTTGATACATAATATTTTAGAGATGGATGATCTCACTGGCAGAGGAGACATTGAGAAGGGACCTTCTAATCAAGGACACTCGCCCATCAGTGTAGTAATCCCAGTGTACAGACGGGACTGCCATGAAGAAGTTTTTATGGGTAGCCATGTGTATCCAGGATTGGGTATTTACCAGTTAAAATTTGATAACTCATATTCACTGTGGAGATCAAAGACCTTATATTATAGGGTTTACTACACTCGATAGCTTAATATGGTATTTTGTTTTTTCTGTGGTAGCAAGGATTATGTGTATTATAAGCACATTGGGAAGAATGTTGGTAAAAACAGCTATTTATATGAATGTTAATGAAAATTAAGTTTTGTTTGAATGACTAAATTATATGCAGTTAATTTCTTAACAGCATCTGCATAGAATTTCTAAATGTAGTGCCATCATCATTCTAACAACTCTGTCAAACAGATAACCAAATTAAAACATTTAAATATAGCTTACAACAGTATATTGAGAGATAGTTTAAAAATGCAAGTTTCAAAAAAGTCAACTGTTGATTTCATAGACCTTTATTGTCTGGTGTTTAATTTTAAAAACAGTACAGAGTACTACATTTCAAAATCAGTATAGTATCTATACCAATAATAACAGATATGTACACACACACACAATGTATTCAACTTGCATAACAAAATGTTTCAACTTAATGTCCCAAATAGTTAAAATTCTAGTCCTAAGTACCATCCAAGCTGATTTATACTTTATAGAATTCTTACATACTTAACCTAAAATTATTTTAAATTCCAAAAGCTAAAGAAAATGTCCCATACTTTTAAATAAATTGATATCATCCACACTTTACAAATTATGTTACATAGAAATGGTTAAACTACTTTTAATTATATTTACCTTTGTTACTCTGTATTAACTTCTTAACATCTGTGGTGGTCACTTTTCATTAGCATACTCATTTTTGTTCCACTGACATATATTGTACTGTAGAGTAGTCAGCAATATAGAATTTTTTTAACATTATTAAAAATATTTGGATCTTTTTTTCCAGATACAGTGCAGGATCTTTTTCATGTCCATGGCAAGAGCCATTATTGAAAAAAAAAAAAAAAGGTTTAGAACCAAGATTTACTTTCATGTAGGGATTATATTGAATAATTATTTAGAACCAGTTGTTACTTTCAAAATTAAAGAAAGGAAAAAAAATGAAAATGATTTTTTCATAGTTTTTCACCTTTTAGGATGAGTTGGTAGTTAATTGCTACATCTGCCACCTGAATTTCTTGTTGTGTGAGAGTGTTGCCATGGGAACAAAACTAGTGTTCAAGCTACAGAGTGGGAACAGTGAAATTTTTTTAATGAATTAAGTATATGTAAAAGTAGGTACACACAAGTAGGTTGAGGACAGACCACTTGGGTGTTTAGTAAACTTATTTTTAACAGCTAGAAAATGCTAAAATAAGTGAAAAGTTGTTTAACATGCAACCTTATACAGTTAATTAAAATTGTAGACCTTTTAGTTTACAATACAGATTTCAATTAAAAATTGGGTATTTTATAAACAAATTACACATGTTATATTCAGGTAAAACTGATTATTCTTGAAGCAGTGAGATAGGTCTGCTGAATAACAAGGGATCTATTACAGAGTAATTTTGAGTTTCTCAGAATACTCAAGTTCTTGAAAACATTGTGACTAGACTGGACACAATGAATCTTTTAACAGAAAACACAAATACAGTGTGTTTACTTGCTTAGATGTTGGACTGTTAGTTTTACTGAATCAGAACTGTTTTCTCTCTCCAAACTGCACTCGATGAAAATTTCTACATGACTGTTTAAATCTAATGTTTCTTACTTAACATTATTGACATTATCTTATCTTTGTAAAAAAAAACGAAACAGAATTTATGTTAAATGCAGGCTTTCCTGTTATAAAAATTAAACTTAAAAAGGGTTTGTAACATTTAAAGTTATTGAATTTTAAAATGATTTTATCCTAAATATTAAATTGTGCAATAAATTCTTGAACAATAATACTAGGAATGATTTATTTGAAAGGGTTACAATAAATTAATTTTTATGCACATGTTTTAGCTATTTCATTTATAACATGCCTGCTTTTATTATAGGTGTCAAAATTTACATATATTTTTTTAATTATGAGGAGTGTTCACAAAGAAACCTTTGCCACCAGGACACACTTTAATGTTTTTACTATGCAACTTTAACATTAAAGTATATGTACTATGTGTGTGTGTGTGTGGTATCTGAACCTTAATCTGTGTGTGAGTGTGTGGCATCTCTTATTTTCAGCCATTTCATTGAAATCAATATTTCATGGAAATAATAAAAATGCTGTTGTATTACATTCTTTTTCTTTCATATGATAAAATTCCCATAGCTGTTTTGTTTAACAAATAGTTATATGAAAGTATACAACTTAATTTGTTTTTATCAGTAAGAAAAATACACTTAATGTTGACGTAAACATATTTTTTGAATAAGCTATTTGATTTGTAGAAAGCACACCAGTGGCACAGTGGTATGTCTTGTACCACTAGAAACCAGGTTTCGATACCCGTGGTGGGCAGAACACAGATATCCCTTTGAGTAGCTTTGTGCTTAATAACAAACAACAACATTTGTAGAAAACCAGTTCACTTAATAATGTTTCATTGTATCTCTACATCAGAGGAAAGAATCATACTAGCAACATGTTTAGGGCAATCTCATTAAATTTCAGTAAGAACACAATATATTTTTTAAATAACTTTCAGAAAAGAAACACTATCCCCAACAGTAAAAACAATGTGATCTCTCATTAACTATTAATCACACAAATATTACTTTATGTGGTACATACAAATACAAGTGAGCTTGGAATCTGACATTCGTTCTTTTCTACATAGTACTTATAAATGTATGATTGCTTGGAATTATGTTTTTTTTTATAAACTTGTTATGTATAAACAACAACATGCTTATATATTATTCATTATTTCATTTACATCTCTGTTGATTGTGTTTATGAACACTTCTAACTGTATACATTAAACACTATTCCTTAGTTAGCAGATTTTTATTACAATATCCCCCTGTGTAATAGGACTGAACTGAAGACTAGTTATTTGCTTCAAAACTCTGTGGTTCAATTTTTTGGGCTTACAGAAAAATTTTACAAGAAAAGAAGGGTAAGCAAATAGGTATAATTTGAATTGAAGTGCTTTTGAAATAGTGATTATTAATACACAACCTTTTTTTAGTATTAAATGCTAGATTATTCATGATGAATTAAAAAAAAATGGTTTTGAAATTGAAATGTTGGAGGTAGATATTTGTCTCATGGTAAAAGTCAGATGGGAAAAATTTCATTTGTACAAAAATAAAAAAACTTGTGTAGAAATTTAATCAGCTTGGTGATCTATCTTGAATTCCATGTGCTTGTTTAGTAATGTAATATTTTAAGGTGAAATAATTGAAACATACAATAAACATTCCATTAAGTACTTATAACTGACAGCTCCTGCATCCAAATATAGTTTTTTTTTCAGGATTTCCCTGAAGACAGTAGCCCATAAACAACTAAATTCTATAAGGTAAACTGACTATTATTTTCTAGCGTATACTCCTAGTTAGACTGGTTTATAATTAGCTACATTATTTACTAAATTAATTGTTAGTTCTGATCTATTTATATAGCTTGCTTTGATTAGAAGTTTTTGATAAAAGAAATAAATAATAGCAGTTGACTGGTGATAAAGCTTTGATCATACCGGGTATTACCCATTACAATTTTACTAAGCATTCAAAAATGACTGGAATGTTGTAACTTTGTTATTAAGTACAAATCTAGACAGAATGGTAACTGCTCATAAACAATAATTAGTTGCCAGTATCTTCCTCACCCACCTAACAAAGGATTTGTAGATTGATTGAAATGGGGGGGGGGGATGATTTCTAGGCACAATGGTGCAATATGGTCTAGGGACTAGAGCTGGAAAAGATGGGGTTTCATTTGTTATCTGAAGATTGTTTTTTTTATCATACAATGTATATGATATTCAACAGAAACCACATTTCTTTGATCTTTCACACCACAGGGAAATATCACATTGACATAAACAATGGTTAACCTGAGAGCAAAGTTTCAGAGAAAGCATGATATTTTGGTTCCACCCAAAATGGATTTTTCTATTACTTTAGTTTGGATGGTATGAATTATGTCAACAGCTTGTATGATAATTTTATCTTCAATTTAAATAAAAATAAAGACCAAGCTTCTTTGTATAATGACCAAGAGATTAGTATTGACACCAAAGTTTTTATTCACCATATTTTGAATGTGTGTATGTGTTTATATGAACAGAATTGAAATATAATGCTGTGTACTTTGGTGGGGTTAATTTCAATCAGTGAAAAACTCTGCATGTCAAACAGTTGAAATTATTTATAAAATTACGTACATATTGTTGGTAAGGATCACAGAACATAAGAAAAAGGCAATAGATGTTATCCATGGCTGCCCACAATATTTTATGATGAGCTTTTCCTGATAGAAAAATGTTTTAAAAAAAAAGACTACAGCCATAGGATCAATCCATAAGAATTTGTTAATACAGATGGACATAATTTCATTAACCACTTATCATCCATGGAAGGGTTTTTTCCATTACCATAGCAACACTTTGACCACAACAAAACAAGGCACGAGGCACTTAAATGGCACATGAGACATTTGGCATATATTATATATTTATATATAGGTGGAGATAATTTTTAGCTCATGCGCAAATATACAGGTGGAGATGATAAAGGGTTAAAGATATGATAGTATAGCTAGAAAAAGAAGCAAGCCACTGATAAAAAAAAACAACTGAATTACAGTAATTACAAAAGTTTCTAACTAATTAATTTTCCTCTGCATCATGAAATACTAGCAAAATATTTCACACAACAGAATTAGAAAAATATTTTGGTTGTTAAAGTTTTTTTCAAGGAATGAAAATATGCTAAATGAGGAAAAGCATTTAGTAACCAAGAACACTACATTGTGTTTAAAATATCACTTTCAAGGAATGCTGTAATATTGATTTGAAATCTCCTTTTCAGTGTTAGTTATAAAAAAAACACATTAAAATGCAAGAGTCAGTAATTCAAAATATGATTAATGATTGAGGTTTTTATACTAATAAATAGAAACACAGAATAATAGAATTTAAGTTGCTGTTTTTAAAGTTTTTCAGATGGAATGTGGTTGTTTTTCTTGGAATGTACTTTCTTTCTTGATATAATATCACGTGTAATTGAGATAAAGACAATTGTATGTTTCACAAATTTATTATGACCATGGTTTCATCAATAAATGCATCATCCTTGTCTGTCTGTAATATTAGGGTAAAGAATTTACTCAGTCATAAAGAGAACATATGTTTCTGAAATCTTTATAACTACCTACAATTATCATGACATTTTAAAATAAAACTTCAGATGATAATATTCTTAATAATATTACTTTAATATCTAACCTATATAAAACCCATTGTGTGTGTCACATCACATTTGATTTCTAGTAATAGGAGGAGTCATAAAAGCCAAAATGCATTTATCAAAATAGAATAGTTTGATTACTGTCTTCCATTACGATTTTAGTGATGGAGGTGCATAGGGGCTGTGAAACCTTATAAGTGTAGTAAGTGTTGGTACAATAATCCTGAAGTAAAGATTTAGTGTGGGATCACCTAGCCTATAGTCAAGTACATAAAATTTATCTTGAAAGTAAACGATTCAATTTTAAACTTAAATCATTTCTGAATTAAGCTATTTTCTGTTATATCACCATTTTAAATAAAAAACAAACTTCTTAAATCAACAGAAACTCTAAATTAAGAAATTAACAAATATTTTTCCAGTTTAGCTGTCTATATATTTCATTTTATACTTTCATTACATAAACTAACAATATTAGGTTATACGTTTGTTGCTAAGCATCAGAACATAAAAGCCATTGTTGGAATGTAGTGTTACCAAAACACACTGGCTTTCCGATATATTAGAAGTTGTTAATCTAACTGATTTTTGCCAATAATTATTCTACAAACATGCCATGAATTCATTTCATGAATTATCTTAATTTTGATAGGCTCAGAAAGGAATTTACCGATGTTTGACTGCTTCAACTGCACTTTTCTGCCTCATTGTTAGTTAAGCTTGATTTCTAAGAAATTTTATTTGAGTTAGCGGTGAAATGTGAGGTTAAGGTATACTCTGGGGTGGAGGTGTTAGTTCTTGCCCCATCATTTTTTATGGGTTGTACGCTAGTCTTTATAAATTATGTTGTGCATTGTTTTGAAGTTATACAACAAATAAATAAATGCCTACCGTGATCTATATTTTGCTATAGAATGAGAAGTACTACAACTTAGGTGTTCAGTTAATAACTTATGTGATTTAATAGCTTGTATTGTTTTAGAACCATCTCCACAGTAATTTATAGGTGCCAGTCAGTTTGAACCTTGTCTAAAATATTGAATTATCATTATGAAAAATGATGAGTAAAATACTATTTAAATATAAAATATTTTTAACTATGCTTGTTTAATATTTATTGTTGCTGAAAGTTAATAATACTGTTGTGTAACTTTTTTGTTTCTGAAAAACTAAATTCAAAGAACCTATTATATATATATTTACAAAACAAGTTGTAAGTGCCAAAGAACTTAAAATTAGTAAAAATGTGATTTTTTCCCTTTCACTAATGTGTATTTAGGATATTCATATATATATATATATATATATGTGTGTGTGTGCAAGTGTTAATGAAGTATGTATTTATCTTAAATTATTTTATTTGACTAAAGGATTTTCCTAAGTTACTGAATTTTTAAATATGTGTTGCAGCACAGTGACATTCTAATCTTAATAACCTATTTATGTACATGAATAAGTTAAGGAACTGTGTAGATTTCAAGAGAGAAACTTAGGCTAAACATGACAATTGGAGACCAATATGTTAAGTAAGAGGATGAAGTTATTTATGAATATTCATATAAAAATAGTTTCACCAGGGAGTTGCAACAAATGGGAATTATCAATATTTTTGAGATATTGAGTTTACTTTAAACAAAGTGACTTTGTACAATTTATAAGCCAGATAATGTTTTTTGTGGAAAGGAATGTGTAATATTTAGTGTTGATTTTATAACATTTGAGTCCTTCATTTATGTATACTTGAAATAAATTATAACCTATAAGCATACTTCTACCAGCTTAGTGGTTCCATAAAGCTAAAAGTAGTGTATCTTTACAGGCCAATAAAATGTTTTATTTGCACCATGTACTCTTAACATGCTTACTGTTTGTTTTCATTTCTGAGAATATTTATAAGTGGAAAGGGAGAGGAGGATTAAAACATTTTAGCATGTCTGACTGCTTTAATGCTGTTTTCACTCAAGGAGGATTCAGTCTAAACAGCCAGATGTAATTATTCACACACATCAGCATGGATACCACTCAGCACCATAATGTGTTCGTACTTAGCGTAGCTCTCATAAGTTACTACTAGAATATTTCTGTTTCTTCCAGTGAAACCAAAATAGAGAATGACTTATTTTTGCTAACACTGTTAAGTCTTTATGGTATTGAAAAGCACATGGACAATGAATTGAATCTATCAAACAGCTTAATCTGTCACAAAGATGACATTCGGTGGAAATGCTAGTGAGCATTTTGGTAGCAAACTTGATACCATTTGACCATCAACTTTTTTATTTTTTTAATCATTCCATTTTCTTTGTTTCTCAGAAACTACTTTAAATATTTTCTAATTCAATATGAACCTTCTAACATTTACATTTTTTTTCTTCATACCGTACTTCCATCTGAACAAATTTTTACTGTCATTTTTTTAATGTAACTCTAATACTTCAAACCAGTATGATACTGACCATGTTATTGCAGCTAGAAAAAGGAAGACTTCACAACTTTTTATCTGTTAACAGTTATGGAAGAATTTTATTTATTAATGTTTATCAGAATAAAATAGTGATACATGTCAAAAGTTTTTAATACATTATTTAAGTATAGTAATACTCTGTATCCAGCTTCCTTTTTCAAACACTTAGTAAGATTTGAATATAACTGATGTACAGCATACAAACATTACATTGTATACACTTGGTATCAATAAAGGTTTGAATTGGTAATTAAGATCTTAAGACATAAAAAATTTTGTAAATATGACTTTTGGTACTAGAAATTCAAAGGCTTTTATCAGGAGATCCTGGAAAAGCCCTCGGCACTCTAACCACATTGCTCCCATTTCTATTGTTGACAAGCTGTACCATTATGTTTCCGTTAGTTTGTTAACTAACAATCTACAAAATGTAACTTTGAAAGTTGGAAATATGACAATTTGTCAACACTCATCAGCAACAGGCTTTGAACTATGTACCTCTATCTGCAAGTAAACAGATGTTGTATTACTATTGTTGGAATGAGATTGTTAACATAAAATAAGTTTGACTCATTTGGCATAAATCTAAAATCATAACTTTCAGTGGATAAAGAACATAGATAATTCAGAATTTTCTTAATTCCATCTTCAGCATGAGTACTTGATAAATAATGTTTCTAACGTTTTTCATTAGTTATTGTCTAAAATCTGTTTATAAAGAGAGAGAGAGAGAGAGAGAAATGTGAATCCAAGTTACAACAATATAATATAATGAATATCATAAACCTAACTGCTGTGTACGAAATGTCGAAGACAGCCCATCAGCTTGTACCTAATTCAGTCATCCATTATATAGTGATTGATCTAAGCTAGGTTATTTTGAGTGACATTTTGGGAACAACCAGGACTGTAAGTAGAAGATTGCGGTGAATGTTATTAATATTATTTTCCTTGTGTTCTTATCAGTTTCTTTTTTCAGATTTAAAATGAATGAAATTCTTAATAAATGGATTCAATTTTACTTATAATCATCATTCCCTGTAATTACTAATACATATAACTGCACCAACTGACAACAAATCATTCAGTACAATTATTGTTTTAAATATCATTTAAATATGGGTACGTGTTATCATAAAAGAAAACTTATTTTTTATTAGAGTTCTTTGTTTGGTAGAATTGTAAATTGAGAAAATATTTAAAAATATTGGAAACCACGAGATATACAACATTGTAAATGTTGTGCAACAATATGAGTATGAATCTTTTTTGGCATGGTGGCTTGTCTGTTGTATGTTCAGCAGCCAAGGAGGTACAAGTTGAGCTGTTGTTCTATTAGCATGTTCAATTAATATGTTCTCTAAATAGTATTTGGTTACATGCTAGATGAGTTTTTAGCTCTGGCCAGAGCACAGTGTTTGGAAGAAAAATGTAAGGCTTTTTCACTTGTTATTAAGTTGAAGTATACTTAGAGAACTATAAATTATGAAGAATTTATTAATGCTTTCTCTAGTAATGCATGGCTATTTAGAATGTCTGAACAGCCATGTTTCATAGATCTCTCAATGAACTTTTTTAATCAGGCATTATTGTTAGGACATTTTGTACAGCTGTTGTGGCATTTTGTATAAAATATAATAAAACATTAGTTATTGGATTTTGGTGGAGTTCATGTTCTGTTAAAATCAGAAAATTAGATACTTGCAAATGACAGTTTTGTTCTGGAATGTTTTTCCATTGGCCTGTGCAAATTATGTCAAAAGGTCCAGAGTTCAATTTCAATGATACAAATAGTTGTAAGAAATGAACTTAAGAGGAGAATGTATACAACTTTTTAATTTTCACATCACAATTTCCGAATAAAAAGTTCAAATGATGAATGGAAAATGTATTGCATATACCAAAAATGTGTTCTGTAAGGAGTTCTGACATTCTGTAAATACTTGTAAATTTCTTGTATATTATAAGAAAACTTAAAAGTTTTACCCAGAGATACTGAGATAAAAATTAGAGAACATTTTTATTATCTTTTATTTGAAAATATTTACAACATAATCAGGAAGAAACATTAATGTTTTCTTTTTTCAAAGTTACAGAGAATGATATTGTCAAAATGTCCTGTTTGTTTTCTTTTACAAATAGTGCCTAAACAGAGATAATTGTCTATCGAATCATTAACAACTTCTGAAGCTATTTTTATGAAACAGAAAATAAAAGTAATGTAAGATAAAAGATTTAAGCATATTTATTGCGTGGCTTTTGATTTAATTGAAGTTTTCTTCTTGTCTTTTTTCTTCAAGCCATCCATGTTGCCCTTCAAAAGACTGGCATATGCCTGAAAAAATTAAGTAATGTTAATGCATATACATGATTAAAATGTGCATTTTATTAAAGCTTTTATGACTTTCAGTTATAGATATATGCAGTAGAATCTGTTACATTGTGATAAGATTCACAGTCAATGAATTTACCTTCAATTTAAAAACAATGCTAGAGGCTTTTATAAAACTTTTAAGCCAAACTTTCAACTAATAGAAATAAAACATGTCTTTAAAGAAGGTCATTCATGTCTTATTGGAAATAAGTCCATGAAATTATTGAACTTTTTCTTCTGCAGGTTGGTGAAACCAACTTTCAATGATTTAGTGGGCTACATAGGGAAGTTATGGTATTCAAGTTAGAATAAAAAAAAAAGCACTCTGATAAAGGACTTTTCTATCAACCTCAAAAAAGCAAAAAATAAAGCTAAAGGGATTCACCTCTCAATAATGTGCAGCTATGAAAATGTGGGATTTAGGACGATTGGGAAAAATGTGTTTCTCTTGCACAAAATAGTTTAAGTGTTCAAATTTAGGTAGGTACCATATATTACAGTGGCAAGTAAGTTTCAGTGAGCCTTCCTTATCCACCTCTTCCACTTCAGAAGTCATGAAAACCATGGAGAAAATGGCTTTATAGAGCTGGAGAACCAGATCTTGTACTGCACATGATGTGTGGCCACTAATATGTTTTGTGTGGGATCTTTGATTGGTGTATGGATTTTTACTCCCATACAGCCTAAAAAGTAATAGGAAATTGGCCATGTTGGTGGGCAATTCAGATACCAGATATTGCAAGGAATTCAAATCTCAATTCAGTATTTAAAAAAAAAAAAAAGAGTATTGGAAAACTTTGTTTTGGAATTAACCCACCAAACACGTGTCCCTGACTCATAGACTGAGTGTTAAAATAAATAAACAAACAGAAGCCACAGAACTTTTTTTGGAGCAAAGAAGGATAAATCACTTCATGAAAACTACTGACAACTAATCATATGTGTAATTTTCAATTGAAGTTTACAATATGAAAGGTAATACGAGTACATCCACAAAAATAAATTCAGTAGACTCATTGTAATTTAAAAAGTTGATCAAATTTTCATCACAGTGTCTTACAATCCTCTTGTTTTTAATAGTAAACTATAGTACAATGCTGTAGAAGCACAAGAAAGTACATATATCAAAACCTTCTAAAAATGAAAAAATATCTGGACATACAACATAACATCTCAGAAAAATAAACCATGGACTGTGAGAAAACTGCCCATAATTTTAGAAGTTTGTCACTATATATTAAGTTAACCCCTTTCCTACTATAAGAAAGAAATAATAAAATCACCAGTGAAGATTTTGTACAAGAAAAGCACAAGTTTCTTGTTTGTGTTTGAGAATCATCTGGTTGATGGTACATTACATTTATCATTAAATTGAAGAAAGTCTGAATTAATTAAATTAACAAATACAATTTTAATTTTTAGTGTTCAGAGAAATACGTAATTGTGTCCTTCAATATAAAGAGCATTTCAGCAAATAATCCACATTGACCACTTGATGTTTAGTGTTGCTTCATATATACGTCAAAGCCAACTTTAAAAGCTACCAAAGGAACGTGTTTTACCTAATTTTAAGGGTCTTCTTTTTGTAATTGTAATGATGGCTAACTATAAAAATAAACCATCATCACAATGTTTTTTAAAGCAAGGGCTAAAACAGAAACCAAAATACAGTAATAACAATTTAGATATTATATCAAATCATAAATAGTTTATTCTTTTAAATGATTCACATAAGCTTGGAAATAAACAAAATATATACATTTGCTTGCAACAAAAAAAGAGAATGGATATCAAATGATCCAAATCTAGAAGTCTACTTCTGAGGTATCTTCAAGAGTTACAATACTGCAGAAAAAAAAAAGCCTCAGAGAGGCTCATTTGTCCTATCATTTTGCATCTGCAGTAGCTTTGATTTATATTCTTGTATAAAACTATGCATGTAGTTCAGCAAAACTTACATTTCTTCAGTAACTGACAGAGAGTATTAAACTTTAAGAGTCTGCCATACTTACAGATGCCTTTTCAGCATAACCAGCAAAATTAGTAGAAAAACTTTACGGGATGTTTGTTTAACAAAACATCTAGTGAAACAGGGAAATATGTATTGAATAATCATATTGAATAAATGTTTGTACTAAGCAATTTTCTCTTATATTTTATTTTATTGACAAGCAGGAGCTGTATGAGTTAAAGTGATAGAAAATAATCGTTCACAAATATCTAAACCCTTAACGTAATGCACTACAGTCATAATACACACAAAACATTGACCAGAGCAATGAAATTAAAACTTACCACTTGAAATCTGTTCACATCTTTAGCATTAATCTGAAAAAAAAAACATGAAAAGTGTTTGGTTAAGTAAATTAATAAAGTACAACTCAAACATAACTATTATTTCATCAGTGATAAAAAGTTTATTTTATAAGATAGGCACATTCATATGTTTGTATTAACAAAACAATAAGAAAGATAGCACTCAGTGCAAGTGCCAATGCCATGAAAGTTCTGAGGTGAATGCTAAATTGAATCATGAAATATAGAAATGAAAAATACTATTCCTACAAACTTTAGAAAAGGTGCATATTCCCTAATTAGTTGTTTTACATGTGAAATGTCAACAAGCATTTTTTTAAGCTTTATTTTTTGAAAATTCCAGTGGTTAGTGCACTATGTACCTGTGTTATTAGACTTGGTTTACATTTAGAAGACTGAGGTTTCCAGTGTGTTAGTTTGATGATAAAACTGTACATCACAAATGTTTTTTACTCAAGACTGAAAACATATATGTATTCATGTAATAGTATTGACTGAGAAAAAGTGGATTGTAGTGTCGTATGAGACTGTTCTAGTTAACATAAACATTTAATTTTGGCTTCTTATTAATTATAGTCTCAACTGTGGCCTTTATGTACTTTGTAATCCAAAAATACATAATGGTTACATTTTAATGATGCTCAGAAAAAGTGATTGAATTAAACCTTGATTGAGGCAGATACAGAACTATTATGAGCGAGTTTTATTGGAAAATCATCTCTAAATAAACACACTTCAGCTAAAATAATGTTATATTATTCAGTTATTCTGATCATAATATCTGGTTTAATATCAATTATGTGACATATGGATTAATTTAATAATGTAAAATATAATGAATTATAGCAAGTTTTGATGTCAATGATAAAAGAGGTGAAGCTAAACATACTGGTTTGCAAATAAATATTTTTGTTTATCTGTTTCTGAGTTTTTATATGTAATTTATGCTGCTTTAAACACAATTATTATATATTGCAGCACATTATAATTTCATGACAGATTATTTATCTTAAAGATTGTTGCCTTTGCAATGTTGTAAAACCAGCTAAAAGCTTCTATAGTTGAATGATAAAACTTTTGTATTCATTCATAATTTGTCAAAGTTATGTCTACACTTTAGATTATTTTGAAACGTTCTTTTTCAGATGAAGTTTACAATATTTAAAAATGTATGGAAAACCTATTTTAGTTGCAGTCATGATTACATAATATGCTCCTCCCAGTTTTGGGGAGGGGATGAAATGTATTTCAGAGATAAATAACCATTTAAAATTCATTTTAATTCTAAAAATATTAAATTCAAGTCAGACAGATTTACCTTTGAATCACTAAAAAGGTGAATACTCATACTGAGATGAAGGAGGGAATTCAAGTGTAATAAGGCCAACTGGTTCACCAAAAGGTGAGTTCTTAAGCAGGAAACTAGTGATCTAAAACAAGTGATCTATGATCAATCAGAGGTTGAGGAGAATCCAGAACTAGAGTCAAAGTCTATGGACTGGATACATAGGAGAATTGAGTGAAGCAGACCAACCTCATAAGAGATTGGACGAAATGGGGACACCAAGAAAAAAAAAGCATTCTTTACCCTTGAGAGAATATCCCAGAGGCTAACTTGTTGACAAATTCAAATACATTGTTGAAATGTTACTTGCATCACATTGCTGTCTCTTATCTTCAGGATTCTGTGTGACTTCAGTTGTGATGCTTCAAACTAGGTGGGATCCCTAGCATGTGAATTTTTCTGTTACCATTTGGGTCTATGACTTTGTAGTACATGGTAATCCAGATATAATTATTCTGATCAACACCCTCTTTCAATCATAGAGACACCTAGAGTTGAGGTATTCAATTTCCAGAAGAAAAAAACCAATAATGGTCTCTCTTTTACAGTATGAGATTTTGTGTTTGAATGGATTTATCCTGTTGTGATTCTTGCATGTTATATGTACCTCTGAAATTATCCTAAACAAATTTTACTCTTTTTACCTTTCTTATCTCCCTGTGTATGTCCTTGTGTAGCATTTGAGGTATTGGAGACAAGACACCTATTTTCCATTTGTCTCATAGCTACAACCATGATGGGCACTTTAGTTTTATTTGTACCTTTTGTTAACCTTATTTGGTGTTCCCATTACACTGTATGAGAGTTTTAGAGTTGTCAAGCCCAACTTTTAGTTCGTTTGGAATTTTCATAACTGAGGTGGTTTTGTGACTTGGCCAGCCTTTACCATTGAGGATAAAGGGGGCCTTAGCTCCAGAAGCATGTCCAATCATTAGGTATTATTGGTCTTCTGCTCTGTTACTACATCTGAGAATATGCATGACTCCACAGGTACTTACATACTGACAGATTCCCCTTCTATTCATTAATTAAAGGGAGCTTAGTGCAATGAGGTACCCTGCTAAGAAGGTTCTTCCTACGGATATTTTTGCCCAGGCAGCCTGGACTTGTTTATCTTACAAACTTATGCAAGGCACTTCTACTGGATGTTTTTGCCCAGATAAACCACACTTGACATAATCAGATGTATAGTGGTTTTTTTATAAAGTGAAATTATTGTAGATTGTATTGTAAAAACAGACTAGAGATGAATAACTTGTCAATTGTGTTCTAAAGTAATTGAACAAACCTGTGTAAAATTTTGACAAAAAAAGAGACAATTATTTAAAGCTCTAGATACAACTGTAATAACCAACAGTTATAGTGGTGATTTTGAAGTGAGTATCAGAGCCTTGTATTGTAATAACAAAGTAAAGGAGAATAATTTGTCTTGTCAAAGTGTGTTATAAAGTAATGAACCTGCCTGTGTGGACTTTGAGGAAAAAGAGTATTATTTAAAGCTCTGGATACAACTGAGATAACCAATAGTGTAAAGAAATTTTAGTACATTTGTTTGACTTGAAACAAGTGGATTGTGTGCTGTCCATTTATTGTTGAAATTTATCACCAACAAATTACAGACACCTACTGTAAAAAATTGTGGTCCTATAAAAACCTGACTCTGGTAATGGGGGATATATAATATTATGACTAAGTGCAGTCCATTTGGGCAGAAAACATCCAGTGGAAGCACCTTGCATAAGATACAGAGATCAACAAGTGTTTTCCATCCAGGCAAAAACACGAGGGGGGGGGGGGGCTTGAATACATAGGATTAGGCAAAATGTAGTCTGCCTGGGCAAAAACATCCAGGGGAAGCACCTTAGGGTACTATTGAGTATGTCAAGTGCAGTCAACCTGGGCAAAAACATTTGGGGAAAGCATCTTGGATATAGAATATTATGTTACTATGTATTACAACAATAGTCCTCTTCTCACTGAGTAGGTACAAATGAGCTATGAAGTTTGATTTAGTTTATTGTACAAACCCCACTCAGGAGGAAACCTCCATGGTTCAACACTTCAGCAACTGGGAACCAGATGTGGCAAGGAATTCTGTGCTCCACTAGTAGAAAAAGTGGGGGGATACGTGTTGAGGAGTCCGGAGGAAAGATACACTGAAGACAGTGCAACGGGTGTCTGCAATTTCCTATTTTGAAAAGCAGAAATACCTCAATTATAAGGATAACAGGTCAGTAGGGATGGGCAAAAATCCCTATCTGTTT